TAAATGCACAACTCCCACACACACACACACACCCCACGTACCACACACCGCACGAACACATCACACCCTCCCACCATCCACACGCACATCCACACACACCATCCACACACACACCACACCCTCCCACCATCCACACATGCACACACACGCGCACACACTCACTGTGCCAGCCTCTCACCCCCTGTTCTCCTGCTCATCTTGGATAAGGCTTCCAGGACCTTTGCTGTTGGGTTCATGGATCACCTGTCCTGCGTGTGTTCCTTTGTGTCTCTTATCTTTGGCCGCTGCTCCTCGGACTCCCTGCTTGGGGCTTGATCCTTGACCTCCTCTGCCCTGGTGGCCATCCTGGCCTCCCTCGGGGTCAGGCTGAATGTGTCCGAGCAGAGTGCCCCATCCCACCTGCCTCCTCCTGGGCTTCCTGCCCAGTACTGGCACCACTGTGCACCCACAGCTCTGACCTGGGGGGGACTGAGGGAGCCACGGCGCATAGCTTCAGGGGTGCCATGAGCACTGAGCACTCCCAGAGCCTTGCCCCAAGTCCTAGCTCCCCGGCACCTAAGCAGAGGATGCTGTGAGCGCACACCGCTCCCTGGCCAAGAGGTGCATGTGGTTCCATGTGCAGCCACCAGCACAGAGGCTGGGAGCTGAAGGGTCCACCTGGTGGCCGGGGCCAGTAGCGTGGGGTCCGTCCAGAACGTGGGGTGCAGTGGTACCCGGTCTGAGGGGGCCTGGGGGCAGGTGTGGGCCTGTGGCCATCCCACCTCTTTGTGCCTGTGTGTCCTTGGGCTGTGAGATGGGGAGATAATAAACTACCTGTGAACCTGGCCCCAGGCCTCCCTGGCTGGGACCCACATTGCCAGTGACACCAGGCCACCCACCTGGCTGTCCTGTCTAGAGGAACAGCCCCGGCCTACCTCTCACTCTCCTCTCTGGTCCCTTCAGGCTCCTCCTGGTTGCCAGCCTGGCGGCTCTGCTGCTGGGGGAGGCAGGCTCGGCTTCCAAGCCCCAGGTATGTGTGGGCTGCTCTGCCCAGCCCCTGCCCCATCAGCAAGGAATGTGAAGAAAGGGCACCAAGCTGGCCTTTGACAGAGAAGGCAGGGCATTAATGTGACTGCAGGTCTCTGTGCAGGGTGGCCCTGCGGGCACCGGAAGGGACCCTAAGGATGAGGGGGAGCGTGCCCCTCTGCGGGATCTGAGAGGCAAGGCTCAGTGATGCCTAAGTGACCCAGGCAGAGGAGGGGCCCTAGGTGACGCTCACTGGCACTGTGACCCCCAGGGCACATCCTCCGTCCTGGGCATCGCTGCTCAGATGCGCTCTGTGCTGTGTCTCCCCCCCCCCCCCCCCCCCCCCCCACCTTGGGTCAAGACCACTCAGACTTGCACACCTGGGAAGGCCCAACCCTTCCCCGCAAGTGACAGCTGGTCTCCACGGGGTCACCTGTTTCATACACTCCCCTGGCCTCCACAAGAGGGCTGGGTCCAGAGGAACTGGACCCCTTCCTCCCGCCATCAGCCGGGGATGGGGGGGGGGTGTCCAGAGGCAGCCCCAGGGGTTGTCCTGTCTCTCCAGTAACCACATGGCCTCCATCCATTCCCTGGAGGAGGCTGGGCAGGGGGTGGAGTTGGCAGGTGCGGTCCCAGGGGCCTTGGAACCATCTCTGTCCAGGTGTCCCCTGACCTTAGACCCCTTGTGGACTGCACGAAGCCCACACCTGTGATCCTTTCCTTCCAGGTCCTCATCAAGACCAAAGACAAAGTTGGGGCCCCTGAGCAGGACACAGAGGAGTGAGTGTCCCCAGCGACCCTTGTGCTTTCCCCTGCCGTTGCCCCTTCTGGGCCCTGGCCCCAAGCTAAGGGCATTGGTGGATGGAGGGGAAACCCTGCCCAGCACCTTTCAGGAGGAGGCAATGCTCCAGGCAGCATGGGACCCCATGGGATCTGTCAGAAACCGAGCAGAGTACAGGGTCTGAGGGCTCTAGGCTGATCCCCTAGGGTGGCTATCCCCTCACCCCCCAGGGCTGTGGCCTCAGACAGAGCCACTTCTAAGCCATGATTGCTTCCCTGCATCCACACGAGGCAACCTCGGCTGGTTTCTCTCCCAGGGCCACACCTTGCCAGGCCAGAGGATACAGTGCCTGACATCTGACTGGTGGGGACTCCTGCCCAAACTCTCTGGGTCTCCATGGCCCAGGGCTGTGGCCGGGGCAGCATCTGTGTTGGGCCAGGATGTTTTCTCGGGACACCCTTGGGGACGCTGCAACCTTCCGGGGCCCCCTGCGGCTCAGGCATGTGGCGAGGATGCCCACCCTTCGGGTCTGGGTCCCGTGGGGACCGCCTGGTCATAGCTCTTGGGTGGGGAGGGGGAGAAGGATGGCGATGCTTGTCCTGGGCCCTGGGGCCCCGGGGCCTCTGGCGAGTGATGGGACAGAGCCACCAGGGACCCTGGTGGGGGAACAGATTCCCACCAGGTCTCATCCCCAGAGCCCCCAGGCTGCTTGTAGGGTGGTGGGCGCCCTCACTGGGGCTGGCTGGCTGCCTCCTGTGGCACCTGCGGACCTGACCCAGCTGTGCTCCTAGGCCCTGGGGCGTCCCTTCTCTGGGAAGGGACGACGAGCTCATGGGGCTGCCCAGCTGGGACCCGGAGCCTGACCGCGACGGCCTGTACCACCCACCACCCGAGGAGGCCCAGGCCGAGGCAGGGCTCCGTTCTTGGTCACTGCCACCTCACCAGGAGCTTCAGGGGCCAGAGGAGGATCGAGACCACATCTACCACCCCAGGGACGACTCCTGACCCCTGACCCCACCCCAACTGGAAAAATAAACCTTGCAGATGTGGATCCCACGCGTCTTCAGGAACAGTGACCATGGTCCTAGCCTGCTCTGTCTGGGAGAAAGGGGCCTGTGTCCTCCTGGGGCCATAGGTTTGTCCTTACACATCGAGAGGCCCCCGAGGCTCCCCCAACCCAGCACCCAGGCTCCTGGAATGATCTCCTCTCAGGCCTCCTCCTTGTATGTTGGGATAGGGCCAAGAGCATGGCAGAGGTCAGCGGTTGGGACCAGTCAGCCCCCCACAGGTGGGCCCTGGAGAACACAAGGTTGGACAGATGAGGGGAGCAGGGCTTGGGCCCAGACCCCAGGGCTCCTCCTCTGCACGCCTGCCCGATGCTGTGTGAGGTGCCCAGCCCCCCAGCACGGCCCGACGTGGCAGCCACAGGGACAGGCTCACTAGTTATTTCACACGAAGAATATGTGCCGTTTGTGCGTGCAGTTTCTGTGTGGCGATCATGCCCCTGCAGTGAGAGGGAAGCATTCAGTGCCCTCTGCCCCCAGCCTGAGCCACCCCAGTGGTCGAGACAGAAGGAAGCGCCAGGCAGAAGCCACCAAGCTCTCAATTCCAAGGCACCCGGCTGCTCCGGGGATGGTGGGCTTGTCCAAGGTGACCTCACAAGCCCCAGAGCTCCCTGTGTCCTTCCGTGGGTCCCAAGTGCCTCTGAGGACTTGAATGGTGGCCCTCATCCTGATGCTCTGCCTGACGGCTCACGTCTCACCGCCTGGCATCGTCATCCCCATGTTACCGCTGAGGAGACCCCACACTGGACAGCGACCTGTTCAAGGTCCTGCCCTAACAGGACAGAGTGAGTCTCAGCCTCACCTCTGTGCACCTTGCATGGGTCTGGGTCACCCCAGACCCATGTGTGTGTGGGGGGGGGGGGGGCGGAGGGGGGGCAGAAGTGAATCCTGCATGGCACACAGGAGGGTTCACAGTCCCTCAGGTCCCTCCCCTGCCAGGTCGGGGACGGCCATCTCCAAGCAGCTTGGGTGCGGGCAGTTGGAGACTGGTGCCCAGCTCAGATCCAAGGTCAGTGGTGGCCACAGCCCCAGGCAGCCCAGGCAGCCCAGGGTGGCGTTTGTGGCCAAGTCTCTCTCCAGCACTACTGGAGCCAAGGTTCCTCACGGGCATTTCCTCCAACCCAGAGGCACAGCCATGTGGCTGAGGGCACCAAGAGGCGGGTGAGCTGGGGATCTGGGAGTGTGCAGTTGAGGTGTGCAAGCCTCAGGACAGGAGACACTGGCAGAGGCAAGAGGCCTGTCAAGAGTGGACAATATCCCAGGGCATTTAACTGTACACTTTACACGTGTACAATTTATTCTGTCAGTTAAGTCTCAATAAAGCTGTTTAAAGAAAAGCCTTCGTGTGGCTAGAAGTGGCCGTGGGGTCAGGGGTCTGAGGTTAAGCCCCGGCAGTAACTCGCCCAGAGCAGGGTCCCTTCAGGTAGAGCCTCAGATCTGCAGCCCGGTGGGCTTGCCTGCCCTCTGGATTCTCCTCGACATACGGACACCAGCTCCTGGTCGCAAGCAGGGGCCCTTCCCCAGCCTCTGAGGCCGGAGGGCCCCTGGTCATGCCAATTCCTGCACACACATGGCTGGAAGAGGTCTGGAGGGAAAGGAGAGGGTTTGGGGAGACCCTGGGGTCCAGGGCAGTGGTGGCAGGATGCCTCCCACCCCGAGGCCCAACGCAAGCCTCATGCTGAAGTCACGACAGCCTCCTCCTCCACGCTGCTTCGGGCCGGCTGGCCCTTTGCCTGCTGGGCCAGGGGCGTTCTCCTGTCCTTTACCCCTCACCCGCCCACCTCCCAGGATGGTTCAGGCTGCTGCGTATTCAGTAGGCACTCAAGCACTGGAGACAGAGAACAGAGAACAAGAGACGTGCCCTCCCCCCCCTACTTCTCGGAGCATCCAGACCAGGTGCTGACACCTGCCTGCCTGGTCCTCTCCAGGGCCACCCACATGTCTCCCCACTCAGGGCCACCTGGGCAGCGGCTCCACCCACCTCCAGGCCTCTTGCATAGTCACGGCCCCCCCCCCCACAGTCTCCACTCCACCTGTGTGAGCTCTTGTCTCAAACTACAGGGGGGAGGGAGGCCTCACCTCCCATCTGAGGAGGCAGCAAAGGGGACGGAGGGATGGGCACTCCACGGAGCCAATGGCTTCCCTCGTGCTTAGAACCAAACAAGTCTTTGTGAGGGTGGGGCTGTTGTTGAGGCCTCTGGACACTGACAAACCACTATCGTTTCTGACATTTTCATAAATTGGGTGCATCCCAGTCCCAGGCCCCTCCCAGGACTGGCCTGGCCCCCCGGGGCTCCCGGTTGGCTGCAGTCTGGGTGCTCCAGAGCGGGGCCAGCTCATCTGTCGTCTGGCTCAGAGATCCAGATCTCCTCCTGGGCCCTGTGGTCTTCGCCAGGCCTAGCAGAGGGCGTCGGGGGCCAGCACCCCCTTCTTGAGGATGAGGTTTCCGTAGAGGGCTGTCTCCCTGCATAAGGAAGTGAGCTGAGCACCAGGCTGGGGCCCGCTGTTCTGCCACCCACCTGGCCCACCTTCACCCCAGGCGCTAGACTGATCCAGGGACCGGTCATCAGGCAAGTCCCCTGGCAGTCATATTCCCAGTGGGGCATCCAGTCTCAGTCAGGGCAGGGCTGAGCCGAGAGTAGGGGGGGCTCTGGAGTGGGGAGGAGGGCCCAGCATGGCCCAGACCCAGCAGGACCAGCAGGACCCCATGGGCCTGGCCAGAACTCACCCAGTTGCTACAACAGCAAAAGCCTTCTTGGCCCGCGCATAAAACTCAAACCTCTCTATCTTCGCCAGGGTGTCCTGGAAGGCAAAATGTCATGGTCGAGGGACCTTGCTCAGAAACCCTCAAGGGCCCAAGCAGGTAGCAGGGGCATGAGGTCACATGGCTGCTCTGAGGTTCATTTCTCTGGCTCTCCTTGCTGGGGTCCCAAGGATGCTTGGCCTCTGAGCTGTGAGGGCTGGACGGGCAGGAGCATGGGGGGCTGTGGTGGCCACCTGCCTGGGGCCCTTGTGTCCCTTGGAGCTGGCCTGAGGGCAGGAGGATGCCTGCCCAGGACAGAAGCCCCAAGCATCCTCTCCTCAGGTGGGTCCTGCCCCACACACCTGCCAGCGGATGGTCCTTGGAGGACAGGCCCACCCCCTCACAACGTGCCGGTGACACACGGCATTGGCCAGGCCTCTGACCACAAGACAGGGGCCGGGGCACCCCACTTGCCCCTGGCTCCACTCAGACAGGCTGGCGTGGGGGAGGGACCCTAGGCGAAGCCAGGTCAGGATCCCGAGGCAGGGCACAGCCACGTCCCCAGGGTCACTCTTCTGGGGAGGGGAGGCAAGTGCTGAGACAACTGTAGCATGGAATTTGGGGCCTCGGTCTTGTGCTCCTCCTGGCCTCCAAGGAGGTGAAGCCTTCCTGGTGGGGCCGCAGTCTCACCGTGCAGCCGGCCCCGGACAGGATGGACTGGTAGCTCCTCCACACCGGGGTCTGAAGGCCCTTCGTCCTGTCGCTGGGCACCAGGTCCATGACGGCAGCCTAGGCACAGAGGGGTCAGCTTCGCAGTCTGTCCGGTTGCCCTGGGTGCTACCAGGCCCCCACACTGGGTGACAGTTCAGGGGTCCTCCGTTCAGGGTCAGAGCCCTTTGGGGACACATTCCTCCCCACTCAAGGCAAGTGGGCCCCCTGAGGTCTGACAAAGAAGAAAGCAAGTGGAAAAGGCACTCACCGGGCTCTCTCCGTAGGTGTCCAGGGGCAGCAGCTTCAGCACGGCCTCCAGGAGCTGTGGGATGCCCAGGCCTGAGGGCACAGTGCCAGCCTGAGACTCCAGCCCTCTCCCACCTGGCTGCCGGTGGTGCCACCTGCCCTGTTGGCCTGTCCATACCGTTCCCCCTGGGCCTCACTCAGCTGGCCAGCAAGAATGCACTTGGGCCCAGGACAGAGAAGGCCCTGCAGGCACGTGCTGCCCGCCTGGGGACACTTACTGGGGCCACACTGGCATCTCCCCGCCCTGTGGCCATCCTGGCTCTGGGCCTGCCCTGCCCGTCCCCCTTCACTGCACTACACAGGTTATTGGTGGTGACCTCAAAGTCATCTGTCAGGAAGGGCACCTGGGCCACTTTCCTGACCCCAGAAGTCCCCCGACATGACCCCTGAGTTGCCACTCTTATCCTGTGGTGAGCACAGTGGGGCCTGGGAAGAGGCTGTCCCCACGGCCCCTGTTCTCCCGTAGAACTGGGTCCTGATTGTTAAAGAACTCGTGCGCATCGTACAAAACTGGGAAATACAGAAACTGCTGGTGAGAAACCCCGAGAGCACTTCCTTTTGCCGTCTTCTCTGCTCTTCTTGGTGGTTGACTTGTCCGCAAGCCTGGGCTCCGACCCCTAACTGCTAGTTTCCACTAACACGCAGGGCGTGCGCGTCGCTTGGAGGCTTGGCTGCTCCTTGCCTCCCAGCATTTGGCCTTTCCCACGGCCCATCCTCCTTGGGTCATCTGGCTCAGGGTGTAAACTGAGGCACAGCTGGCTCATCTCTGTCAGCAGGGAGTGGAAGCCAAGGCCACTGGGTCTGGAGCTGGCAGCCCACTGAACATGCCTCAGACCACTGGCCTGCGTTGTCCGGGGCGGGGCGGGGGAGGGGTTGGCCCACGTTTCACATCTCTGTGCCTCAGTGACCTCGCCTCTCCATGGAGAGTCATGTCCCCCTCGCGGCATCGCTGAGGGCGGGGAAACAGCCATGCCCAGTTTGAGCCCAGTGCCAGCCCAGGTAGGACAGGACGCTGCTGCTCTTACCCCCCCTGCCCAGACCTTACTCTCGGTACAACTCTGCTACCTCTATCACCTTGGGGATCTGGTTCCAGGACTCTCCAAGTCAAGCCTCCTGCCCACCCCTTAGGGTCAGAGGGTCTTAGAAACAGAGCACGTGGGCACCTGGAGCCTGTAAGGCCAGGCCACCAGTACTGGGATTTCTAGTGAACACCTGACCTGGTTGTACTAGTGCTCAGCCAGCCGATGAAGCTCTGGGCCTCAGTTTCCGCACTTGCTTGAAGTTACCAAGTGGTGTCTCAGATGGAGCAGGAGGCCCAGGGTCATCGCTGGGGTTGGGGTTGAAGAGGGTCCTGGTACCGGGATTTCCTGGCTCACTGGTGGGTGCTTGGGGAATGAGTGGGGATGGGGACAGAGCTGCCACACTTGGGGAGCCGAGAGCGGGGACGACTGCCCATCCACCCTAATCCACCCTGTCAGAGGTGGCCAACTCACCGTCGCCACGGATCTCCTCCGGGCCACACCTGCATATGGAGGAGGTGGGGAAGTTCACGTCTGCAAAAACTGAACAGCCATCCAACCTGATTAGACATCCCTTGGTGGGTCCTTGGGTCTGCGCAGCCCATCTTGCAACTTCGTGGGTGGGCGCACACCTCCGGTCACCTGCTCACTGCCCTCTCCGACCCCTCCCATCAGAGGTGGGGGGAGGGGACAGGGAGTTTCCCAGTGGTGTAGAAACTGCAGGTGTTTCCAGGACGAGGGCGGATTTTGGACCCGCGGCCTCCACCCAGCAGGGGCGCCCCGTCCTGAGAAGCTGCCCCCGGTCCGAGGCCCATGGCCCCAGGAAAAGATAAAGCGCCGCAAACAAATTGGTGTGACCCTTCGGGGGCCGTCTGGGAAGGAGTCTGGCGACAGCACACCGGGCCTGAGGCCGGAGCTGGGAACTTGGCCGCCCCCCCACCCCCAAAAGCCAGGCTGATGGAGGGGCCGGGCCTCCCGGACACAGCCCTGCCTGGAGCAAGGGTCGCTGTCCTCGTGACCTTCTGGGACCAACCAAAGTCGGGGCAGGGGCTTGGGCCACCGCCCGGGCCTCAGTTTCCTAAAGGACGCGGGACGGGGAAGGAGGGAGTGTCCTACTGGGAAGTCGGATGGGGCGGCCCATGCAATGCCCCCACCACCCTTCCCTGGAAGCGGGAGTCGTCTACTGGCCGGGCCACAGCCTGGGCCGGGCCACCTGCCCGGCTTCTTCCGAGGGTGGGGGCCCCCGAGGCCCTGTCCCCGCCGCGCTCACCGATCTCGTCTCCGTGCCCCATCCGCGCCAGGGCGTAGAGCAGCTCGGGGGACAGCAGCGCCGGGACGCCCTTCAGCACCACCATGCTCGCGGGGTCTGGAGCGGGGGACGGGGCCTCGACGGAAGGGGCGGGGCCTGGAGCGGAGCAGGCGGGGCCTCGACGGAAGGGGCGGGACCGCGCGAGGCGTACCTGGGGCTGGAAGCTCAGAGCCGCGCTGGCTGACCCTGGGCAGGGGTGGTGACAACCGGCCCAGCCCCACAGGCGTCTTCCTGGGCCTCGCGTTCCCCCCTACGTCCAAGACCCGGGCGTCGTGTGTTTGTGGTCCGAGCTCTCCGCTGCCGCCCCTCGCGGCCTCCCCGCCCGCCTCCGCTACGCCCCCAGGCCAGGCTGAGCCCCCCAGTCGCACCCCAGACCGCCGGGTCTCTGGTGTCGCTGAGTGGGGAAGGGCGGGTGACCAGACCTGTCAGACTTCTTTAACCAACATTCTTCCTTCAGGACACCCGCCGGCCTGCCCTGGGGTGGGGGAACCCTGGAGGGCAGGCAGCTGTGGCCTCTGGGCTAAGTGGGTGTGCTAGGAGCACCGCATTGGCGTTTTCCACCCTGTCCCCCAAGTGTCAGCCTGCTGACACCCCTCAGGTAACTGACTGGGGTACAGCGCCCCATCCCAGGACAGCAGTGCCCTGACCTGCCAGCCTTCCTCAAGACTGGATCTTCCCACCCCCACCTTCCCAAGATGAGGTGTCCAGACTGGGGGGGGGGGGGTGCTGGATCCACAGCTCCTTCCAGTAAACAGAGGGAGCACCTTGCCTTCAGCTGGCCAGAGTCCCCTGCCTGCTGACCCTTGTCCCTGCCACCTGGAATCTGGATGCTGGGCTCCCTCCTTAAGAGCCAGGATCACCAACCATCTCAGGGTGTCACCACCTCCTGTACACTCCTTGCTGGAAGATGCCCACTTCCACAGCAGGGCACCCCACAGCCTGTCTGTGCCCAGGGCTCTGTCAGGTTCTGGGGCCTGATCCTGGTAGCCGGTAGCTAACTGCCATCCCACAGTGCCACGGGCACATCTCCACTGAAAGACGGGGTTTATTCCCTTCCCTTGAACCAGGTGGACCTTTGTAACTGCTTTGACCAATAGAATATGCTGGAAATGGTGCTGTCTGGCTTCTGAGGTTAGGTCATAAAAGGCAGCACGGCTTCCTCCTGATTCTATCCTCAGAACACTTGTCCAGGGAACCCAGTCACCATATTGGCAGGAAGCCCAGGACACACGGGAACCTCCTGGTGGATATGTTGGTCCTTGGCTCCACCTAGGCCCCGCTGATGCAGCACCAACCACCAGAAGAGTGAGTGAGTGGTCAGGAGGCCCCAGCTTAGGCCCCAGACACAGTGGGATAAAGACAAGCTGACCCATACAGACTGTGAGAACGGCTAGTGATTGCTGCCCTAAGCCACTAAGTTTAGGGGCCATTTGTTACACAGCTCTAGCTGGCTGATGCAGGTGGCTCCTGGGCCCTGCTAAGATGGACACCAAGAGCCCCACCAACACTGTCGTTGGCCTTCAATCTGTGTCTACTCTCTTCCCATCTGCTCCCACACTCAGGCTGGAGGGCAGACAGCAGAGCAGATGTGCACACGTGTGCTGGCCTGGTCGTACCCCACATAAAGACCCACCACCAAACCTCACTGCCCAGTGTGCAGATGGGGACCCTGTTCAGCTCCAGCCGGCCCTTAGCCCCAGGGCCTCACCTCACAGTGCGGCCCTGCTCACCTGCCCAGGGGGAGACGGCCCGACCCAGAGCCGTGGGCAGGCTCTCTCCTTCTGGAGCCCGCCTTCTTCCGCTTCACTGCCACATGGACTCAGGGTTGTGTGGTCCGTGCTATTGTCATGACCCCCAGCCCTGTGGTTCTGGGAATGCTGGGAGGCCTGGCTTCTCCTGGGAAGGTTCTGTACATGAAAGACAACAAAGCCACAGCAAAAAAGAAAGAAACAAAGAAAGAAAGAAAGAAAGAAAGAAAGAAAGAAAGAAGAAAGAAAGAAAAGAAAGAAAAGAAACAAACAAAGAAAGAAAGAAAAGAAAGAAAAGAAAGAAAGAAAGAAAGAAAGAAAAAGAAAAGAAAGAAAGAAAAGAAACAAAGGAAGAAAGGAAGAAAGGAAGAAAGGAAGAAAGGAAGAAAGGAAGAAAGAAAGAAAGAAAGAAAGAAAGAAAGAAAAGACGTCTCTGTGTTTTCCTGCTGGGCCCTGGGGTGCTTGGCTGGTTGAGGAGACAGTTGGAAACCAGCCTGGCATCTGGCAGGGCCAGGAACGCAGGGCCCTGGGCTGCCCGGTTGGGCAGGGTGAAGGCAGGAGCCGCCAGGGGCTGGAAGGGGAAGGAGGGGAGGGGGGGAGGGGGGGCAGGGGGCAGGGGAAGGCCAGCAGGGCCTGTACCCGGGCCATCCGAGTGGCTGCCTCCACCCTGGGTGAGGGTTGTGCCTGAGCAGTTTGAACTCCAAAATGGAAGTGTGCAAACATGAGGGGAGAAGCCAATCTGGTACAGAGAGATAAGTAAGGCAAGGTTTCAGCTTCAAAACAAATCAAAATCCCAAACAATATGGGGCCAGAAGTCCATTAACTCCAAGGAGTGGGAGCTTCGCCTCGGGGTTTGTGGCCCCCGGGCAGTGTCCTGCTCAGGGCTGCCAGCGATGCTGTCACTCACGGCAAAGCCTGTGGCCGCGTGCTAGCCTCCCTGCAGCTCAGCCCAGAGCCCCCAAGCCAGCTCTCACTCCACCAGGCCTAGGGGGTGGGCTCCTGTCTCTGCCAAGTTCTGGAGCCCAAATAACCCTGTGGATACAGACATGTGAGGCACACGGAGACTCTGACGTGCATGTTCAATGTTTAACAATTTCTTGGCTTCTGGCTGCACACGGCTAAGACAGGGTGTGAAGACCAGTCTCGGATGGGCCCCTCAAAACTGGCTCCTCAGGAGGCGCCTGGGTGGTTCAATCAGTTAAGCGTCCGACTTTGGCTCAGGTTATGATCTCACGGTTTGAGTTCGAGCCCTGTGTCGGGCTCTGTGCTGACAGCTCGGAGCCTGGAGCCTGGAGCCTGGAGCCTGGAGCCTGGAGCCTGGAGCCTGGAGCCTGGAGCCTG